TTATATTTCCTCTTCATAGCCTTTTCAGTTTATTTGCTGGATTTAGTGAGTTACTTGTATGCTAGATTGTATTTCATGTACCGTTTTTCTTTAGTGTAGTTTAAAAAACGTCAAGAAGTACTTTAACAAATCAAACATGCCGCCATTTAAACTTTTTCCTCTTCTATTAAACTCTTGCAGGTCAGAGCCCTTTGCTTAGAGTGTATCATACTGCTACAGTGGCTGAAGCTTCTTTCTCTCTGCGGGTTTCTCACCTTGCGGCCGACGTAAACGGGGATGCCGATGACCATGGCGGGAACGGCGATGCCTGCGATGAGGGTGATGCCGACCGGAGCTCCGATCAGGGTGCCCAGCTGCCACAAAATCTTCTTCTTCCTGCTCCAAGGCTTCTTCCCCCAGAACGTGCAGCCAGATGGACTGATGGAGGGAGGCAGAGGGAGGAAGGGGAGACAAAGAGAGAGACGTCAGTGAAATGTAAAAACATCGAGCTGATACAAACAGTGAAATGAGAGACTCCAGTACCTGAGGTAGTGCAGGTCGGAGATCTCCTTCATGCAGAGCCAGCAGAACTCACAGCCGCAGACGGCGCAGGTCATGTGATTGCAGCTCCCATCGTTCATCTTGATGATGTAGGCACCGCAGCGAGGGCAGGGCTTGATGTCATCAGCTGGAGACAGAAGCAGGTTTAGCACTAAGTGACATTCCTTCCATGAATTTCCTCATTCTGCACGTGATTAAAAGGTTGTTAGAGGTATATTTCGACATTTTGTGAAATATGGTTATATTTCTAGCTGAGAGTGAGATGAGAAGATCAATATCAGTCTTGTGTTATCATGCTCAATGTGAAGCTGGAACCAGACGCCTGCTAACTTAGCTTAGCATAACGTTTCGTTAAAGTGACGACCGGATCCAACAAACAAGATATAACACCAGAGAGCTTTTGAGGTGAAGGTAAGTGGATTTTGTTTCCATCGACAGAGCCAGCCAGGCTAGCTGCCCCCCCACCACCCATTTTCTTTATGCTAAGCTAAGCTAACAGGTTGCTGGCTGTCGCTTCTTATACATCGGACAAATACGTGAGCGGTATGGATCTTCTCGTTGAACTCTCAGCAATAAAATAAATAATGCCATTTTTTTTTAGGTAATTCTCAAATATACCTTCATTCAGATTCAGATTTTAACTCTACGATGGTCGCATCTAATTAGTTCTTATCTTCCTTCTTTTGGCAACAAAATCAAACCTCATTAGAGTAATGGATCAGACAAATGCATCAGTTTGTCCTCTAATGCATTTTAAAGGAAAGAAAACCAAGAAGCCAAGAGAAAGTCGATTGACTGTGAGTTTGATGCTTGCAACGCTGTCTGCTCTTTAAAGGGCATTTTGACATTTTAACTTGGAGAGACTCTGGTAGATCGGCCCGAAATGGCCACTGTTTCTCTGTATGTGTGTGTGTGTGTGTGTGTGTGTGGTTGCTATTGTTTGTGTACTCTGCATTCTGCTGACACACTCTCTTGCCTTCCTTTCTTGTGCTCCTATTTTCCTCCTTTTATCTCTCGTTCCCTCCCATTTCTTCTTCTCTGTCCCTCTGTCTCTATATCTGTCTATATCTCGTTGACTAATCAGCAGGTATGAACAGAGAGGCAGACAGAGAGGCAGACAGACAGAGAGAGAGACAGACAGAGAGACAGACAGATAGAGAGAGAGACAGACAGA